ATTCCCCAAATCCCAAATTCCCCAAATCTCACCTTCCCCACATCCAAAATTCCCCAAATTCCACCTTCTCCAAATCCCACCTTCCCAAAATCCCATATTCCCCAGATCCAAAAATCCCCAAATTCAAAATTCCCCAATTCCAAAATTCTTCACCAATTACCAACACACTCAGTAATAATTTTTTTCAATTTTCCTAAAATAATTTTTTCATGTACGACATACTTATAGCCACGATGCAATTTTAGGGATTATCAAGTTTAGTCAGTGCAAATAATATTTGATTTATGCATTAAGAAAACAGTCGTTTTAGTCTCATGTTTGGACCGTTTCAGAGACTGCGGTCAGAAGATTCTGCAACGAGGAGGTGAAAGTGGTACCAGGCGAAGGTGGTTTCATCAAATCACCAGGATACCCGTTATATTATCCTGGTGAGAATACATGTGGATGGACCTTCAGGTCGGCTCCTGACCACAGGATCCTCCTTACCTTCCACGACCTGGATATACGGGGTGAGTATCGATCCGTGAAAGCCCCTTAACGATATCCGTCCGAGTAATTAACTTGAAATTGATGAAGAAATAATGAGCCCGTAGTTCCTATACTACCATGTCCTACATTCCCAAACTTCTTGTATTTCCATATAGCTGGATTTAGTTCTCAAGTTCCATGTTTCTCAAGGAATGTCAGATAAAAATCCCTAGATTAAAATCTGGATTTAACTAAATTATAAAATTTCCTATTATCTTCACTCGAAAATCCCTAGATCCAAATCTGATTTTTATCAAATTCCAAACTTTACAAATACCTCTGACATAAATTCCCTAGATCCGAATTTCATTGTTCCCAAATTCCAAGATTTCCAAATACCTGCGTTAAATATTCCCTCGATCCAAATCTCAATTTCCTCAAATTCCAGAGTTTCCTATTATCTTCACCCGAAAATCCCTAGATCCAAGTCTCATTTTTCCCCTATTCCAAGATTTCCAAACACCTGTGCTATAAATTCCCTAAACCCAAATTTTAATTTCTTCAAATTCCAAATTTGCCAGTTATCACCTTTCAAAAATTCCCTAGACCCAAGTCTCGACGTCCCTGAATTCCAAATTTTATAAAAGCACCTCCTCTCAAAAATTCCCTAGACCCAAATCTCAAAATCCCCAAACTCCAAGATTTCCAAATACCTCTGCTATAAATTCCCTAGACCCAAATTTTTATTTCCCCAAATTCCAAATTTACCAGTTATCTCCACCCAAAAATTCCCTAGATCCAAATCTCGACGTCCCTGAATTCCAAATTTTATAAAAGTACCTCCTCTCAAAAATTCCCTAGACCCAAATCTCAATTCCAAATTTCCCAAATATCCCTACCCAAAAATCCCTAGATCTCAATTACACTTTACCAAACCTTGTAGACCGTAATAAAAAACTAGTTACACAAACATCCTGACCTTCCCAACATAAAAAATATCAATTTTCTCAATATCTCAAACACGACCTTCAGCCTTGACTACAACTACAAGCTGTTACATGACTGCACGTATTTGTTTCAGGCGCAGAGTCGGACGGAAGTTGCGTGGACGTCGTCCGCGTGCGTGAAAAGGGCAGAACTCTGTTCGAGCATTGCGGCACAGCGGCCGGTGTGAAAATTATCTCGAACTCGAACGTGATCACGCTAGACCTGATCGTATCAAACTCGAACGTGATCACCGCCCGAGGATTCTTCCTGCAATATCAAGGTCAGAGTTAGCCCCGAGGTCGCTCGTTCACGGTCTCGTTCTTCCTGATAATCGACACTCGACGTGATCGATGGAACACGAGACGATTGCGCAACCAATTTCTGACGTACAGAAATAACGTACGCGGGATTATTTTCACAACTGTTCCGAACCGTCACTCGACACGCGTCCTCACTTTCGAACACGCTCCGGGGATCTCTACGCTACCGATGATGTTACTGCGTTTGCGGTGACGTAACATGCTCTTGGGTGTGTGGGTGATCTAGTATTCATAGTGGAATACATTGTTTGGGGATTTTTGGTAATTGTTGGGAAAGATGAATTAGTGGGAAGAGAAAAGAGGAAATTGTTTGAGGCACTTTTGGGGAATTTTGTATCTGGGAAATTTGGGATTTGGGGAATTTGTGGGATATGGAGAATTTGGGGTATAGGGAATTTTGGGATACAGAGAATTTGGGGTATAGGGAATTTTGGGATCTGAGAAATTTTGTATCTAGGGAGTTTTGCATCTGGAGGATTTGGGATTTGGGGAATTTTGGGATATAGAGAATTTGGTGCCTAGAGAATTTTGGGATATTGAGAATTTGGGGCTCAGAGAATTTTGGGATTTGGAGAATGTGGGACCTAGGGAAATTTGGAATTTGGAGAGTGTGGAACCTAGGAAATTTTGGGATTTGAAGAATGTGGAACCTAAGGAAATTTGGAATTTGGAGAATGTGGGACCTAGGGAAATTTGGAATTTGGAGAGTGTGGAACCTAGGGAATTTTGGAATTTGAAGAATGTGGAACCTAGGGAAATTTGGAATTTGGAGAATGTGGGATCTAGGGAAATTTGGGAGTTGAAGAATGTGGGACCTAGAGAATTTTGGAATTTGGGGATTTTTGAATTGAAGGAATTGTGGAAATTGGGGGATTGGAGAATTTAGGGATTTACTAGGAACTTGGGGATTAGGGAATTCGGGGATTTTGATTTGGGGAATTTTTGAATGTTGCAATATGCAAAATTTGAAAACTTGAAAAATCCTAAATTTGTAAATTTGTAACCTTGAAAATTTAGAAATTTATATGACCTTGAAACTCAACCTTGAAAATGTAAAAATTGATGTGACCTTGCAATGTAACCTTGAAAACTTGAAAATTAAAAGATTTGTGTCTACATCTAATTGCGATGTGTACGAATATTATTATTATTATTAAACATTTATCTAAAACATGATGCGCACAATGTTTTAACAATAAAAGTAAGAGAGACATCCGTGAACAAAGTCTTAACATGAACGTGGCATTTCAGTTCTGGGCTGTCCGGATATATCCACGCCGAACGGAAGTTACGTATTGAATGGCACCCTGACCTCGAGGACGTTTCTCTGCAAATTGGGCAGCGTGTTCCCTGACAGTAACGAAAGGATAAGAACACTTCAGTGCAAGAACGGGAAATGGAACGAGAGTGTCGTCAGTATACCTAGTTGCAAAGGTACGTTTATTTTTATTTTTGTTATTAAGTATCTTTAATAAGCATCTTTGTAAATTTAGTAGATTAGTAATTTAATTTAGAAAGAGATAAAAATTCATATTTATGTAAAATACGACCCTTGATTATTTTTTGTGATTAGTCAAGGGGTAAGAAATTATTGTTTTACTGTATTGTAAATTATATTTTATATGATTTTGTAGAATTTTGTTGTAATTTTTAATCAATTTTTAATAATTATGTTTTGTATCATTTTTGTCTGATTTTTACATAATTATATTTCATACAAGTTTTATAATTTTATATTATTTTTGCATTATTATGTTTTATACAATTTTATATAATTTTTTATCAAGTCTGATTTACTATATTTTTACTGTATATGACGTCATACTACCCTTTAGAAGTCCCCTTATTAACAAGGTCAATTACATCCGCCATCTTGCAAATATACTTGCCAAACCATTACATCCGCCATTTTGCCAAAATAATTATAACACAAAACAGAAAAATATTCTATTTCCCTAAAATATATTCAAAAGAGAATTCTTCAAATATTAATCCATTCACTCCACCAAAATAACATTTACCATAAACACCACAAGCTCGCATAAAATGCCTCACCCTCCAAGCTAATCATTCAATCAATAAATCACCAAAAGTCCAAAGACGTGCAGCATTAATCCAATTATAATTCACTCACCACAACAGAAGCAACACAACTCTAATGAAATATTATCAATAAACCACAAGATAAAATTTAAAAAAGAAAGTGAGGTAATGAAAGATAAATAATTAAATATAAGTAGACGAGGCACCGTAGTTTATCGTTACGGTCCTCACGGGTGTCCCGGGAACCCATGGCTGCCCATCGCGTTCGAAAGGGGGAAATCCCGTGGTGGGGATATTCTGAACCAGTGAAAAGGTGGACGAGGGGTTGGTGGGGCAGAAAGAAAAAGACGGAGGGAAAGAATCTTGGGGAGAAGTATTCGTAGAGGCACCATACACCGGTAGCGTCGCACACGTAACGACGCCAGTCGTCTCGACGCCACGTGTCCTCCGGAAGAAAATCCTCGGAAAAATCAATTTACCGTGCGAATCGGCTCTATGGTGAATCTTACTACAGTGACGATCAATACTTCCGCTCGATACACTCTTTTGGAACAACATAACCAGGTAAATTAGTTGCCTTTTATTTTCAGTTTTTACTTTTAGGTTAGAGGGGGACATTTTAGTGAAACCATTTTGACACATGAAATTTTAAGTGTTGTGAACTGAAGTATTATTATTTTTTACTTGAGGCTTTACTCAAATTATTTGCTTTAAATATGAAGTTTTTCAAATATAGTGAATTGAATGGATATCTTTTTTACTAGAGATGAATATTTTAGTCAAATTGTTTGCTTTAATGAAACATGAAGTTTTTCATATATTACTACTGAATTGAGTGGGTATCGTTCTTTTTAATGGACTTGAATAAATTATTTAATTTAACAGAATACGTTTTTTTGAATATTGTGTTGTAACTGAATTTCTGAAGTGAGGTATTACTACTTTACTACAGTTGAATATTTTATTCAAATCATTTAACCTAACAAAAAATATTTTTTTTTAAATATTATGTCATAATTGAATTTCTGAAGTGAGGTATTATTTTTTTTATTAGACTTGAATATTTTATTTAAATTATTTGTTTTAATAAATTTCTGTGTCTATGTATACCATTAAATAATCCATTAAGTTAATTTGAACACAAAATACGTCTTCCATTATTCCATAAAAAAATTGAATCTAAAACATTCTTTATCTTGTTCTAAAAAATTTTAATTAAAATTATATCACAATGTGGCCTTCAGTATAATTAAATATGCAAATGTACAGATGTCACAAGCTAATAACAACTAATTGCAATTCAAAATACACATTACAATATTATAATACTATAAACAATACCAATAACATAATTATCATCAAGGTAAACAGTAATATGTTACGTCAAAAAGTCCCATTCACAAAAAAGTTAAGAGATTACAAAAATAGCGTCATTTAAGATTCACTGACGAGGGTCTCCGTCCAACAGTGATTATGCTTATCACACTCTTTTTCTTCCATTCAAAATGTCTCTTTTCATCCGTGTACGATCTTGTGCAACTCGATTGATAGAACGATCGACCCCGGGTCAATGAGAAGCGATCTTCCGCTCGAACCTTCGTACTCAAGCGGAATGTTGAATTAATTAACGTCTCTCAGAGTCATTCTTTTCGTCGTCATCGCTTCTTGAGGACATACTCAGACAATTATTAATTGCCCTCGTTCAATCGCGTTAGTGGGTTGTTATCTTTTCGTGATGGCCTCGGAGGGCACCATTTTGTACCCTTAAGGCGGGAATTTTAAATTCGATATCGCGATTTTTGAATATTTTTTAGAGAATCAAGATAATTTTTTGTTTTTAATTAAAATTATGATTGTTATTAGGTACCTGACGTTCATTTGCGAATTTTAGAAATTAAAAATGGCGGGAAATTTGAAAAATTACTGCGTCGTTTAAATATATAAAAATTAATATTTTTGAGTTTAGAGAAAATTGTGAATATTTCTCAGAGCATCATAATTTTTGGTTTTTAATTGAAACTATGATTGTTGTTAAATGTCAAAATTACAACATTGTTTAAAAATATAGAGATTAATATTTTTGGATTTTAGAATATTTCTCAAAGCATCATAAGTGTTGGTTTCTAATTAAAATTATGATTGTTATTAGATGCCTTATCTTGATTTTGTAATTCAACAATTTGAAAATGGCGGGAAATTTGAAAAATTACAGATTTGTTTAAAAATATAGAGATTAATATTTTTGGATTTTAGAATATTTCTCAAAGCATCATAAGTGTTGGTTTCTAATTAAAATTATGATTGTTATTAAGTACCTTAGCTAGATTTGATAATTTGACAAATTGAAAATGGCGGGAAATTTGAAAAATTAAAAATCAAATTCGAAACTTTCCAAGGACATTCCAATCTAAAAATACAGAACTTTCAAATCCATTATCTAGTACATCAAACAAAACAACCTTATCAGTTTCAAGTGGCGACAATATCCAACTAGAAGTTACATAATATTTGTCTTGTGCGTTGTTATCGAACCGCGCAGGCGTTATCGAAAGATCCTGAAAATCGATCTATCCGTACGATACAGTCCCGTTAATTTGGCCGGTTACCGTGAATGAGAACGAGCAAAGAAAACGGAACAACAGCTGCGTCGCGAAATGAAAAGATCCGCCGTCGGTAAAAAAATTGCCCGAATCCTCCGGTGGCTTTTCACGCCCCGGACAAAGGGGCAGCCCCGGGAAGAATGTGTCTCCCGGGCTCTTTGTGCGTCTCTCCATTTATCCTGATAATAACCCGCTCAGTAGAACTTCTTTGGAGCGGAACATCGAGAAGTTTTCTCGTCGAGCTTTCACCTACTGCGAGAAAAATGGCGACTCGCGAGATTATCGCCTTCCTTCCGTGACAGAATTCTGCAACTTTTGTATCCAATACCGGTTTCGATATCGCGATCAAAAGTTTCGTGTACCCTTGTAATTTATTTCAGGTGAAAATATCAAGACTGGATACTTTTAAACTTGCCAACATATAAATATTACTTTTTATTGCAATAAAAGTTATTAACAATTTTTAGAAGTTACATAAAAGAGATACAACAGTACAGTTCAAAAACATAGTTGTACAAACACTTCAGTTGTTATCAAGCTTCTTTAGACTGCAACATGACAGAAGTACCAGAAAGATAAGTACATATTTGTTCATGATCTCACTGTTATAATTTTAAAATACATTAACAATAATGTAACCTAACAACACATAACAGCTATCAAAGTACTAAGATTAATTATTCGTTTACGAGAAATGAGAGTATCAGCGTAGAGAGCAAAAGTGAATTCAAATTTGGCGCGCAAGCTGCGCAGTGGTCGTCCGCGCAGTATTTTCGCAACCTCCTGCGAAACAGCTGTAGTCCTGCATCACGGGCCACGCACGTGCGTGTGTTTCAAATGGTATTATTTAATAAGTGTGCAGTTTCGATCGTGTATAGTGCGAGAGGAACGTGGGTCGTTTGCATAGTGGGGAGTTAGGAGAAATAAGAGAACAAAGATGGTGGGGATTACCCCCCATACCGATACCCCGTTATTTCCATCTCCTTTCGAGCAGAGATAATTTTAGAGTCGACAGAATAAAACAACGGTTCGGCTGCACATGTTCCTCGACCAGCTGAGTTAAACTTCGAAAACAGAGACGGATAGTTTCGGGGAAAAAAAACTGTATGCATGTGCGTCAGTGGAAAATAACGCCGCTGTTGCGTTTGTTTTTTCAGACAAAGGATTCGGAGAATTTAAAGGGTCGTTTAAGAGGTTTTTACACAATTTCATTTCTCGAAAAATGGTTTACATCTTTTGAATTATGGGAACACTGACTAATTGAGAAAGGTAATATTTCCCACAAGGAAAAGCTCGTTAGATATTCCAGTGGCGATGTCATTGAAATGCGGAGGATGTTTTCATAATGAACAGAATTTTAAATGGGGATTTATGTAATTAATATTAATGAGACATCAAGTGAGATTCGATATTATAAATTATTCTTTGTCAAGATTATAGCTATGGGATTAATGAAGAGTTATTTAGTGGAAGTTGGGGAATCTAGGGAATTCCCAACTTATATACATCCGTAGGATATTTGGGGAATCTAGGGAATTGCAAGGTGGGAAATTTGCAGAAGAAAATTTAGGAATTTGGGGATTTAGGGTTTCAAGGATTTGTTGATTTGGTAATTCGGGGATTTAGGAATTTGTAGACTTGGAAATTTGGGGAATCTAGGGAAGTCCCTAGCTTATATCCACCCAAGGGATATTTGGGGAATCTAAGGAATTTTAGATGGGAAATTTGCAAAAGAAAATTTAGGAATTTGGGGATTTAGGGTTTCAAGGATTTGTTGATTTGGTAATTTAG